TTTTACACTGTCGGTGGCACTCAGGGCAGCGTCGAGTTTGGGCCATGTGGGATTGGGCCATCAGCTACACTGCTGCATGATCAAGATGGGGTTGGTTGGCAAGGAGTTCCTGGATAATTGTCTGATCGGATTCTACGGACGGTCTGGTGAACTGCAGATGATGCGAAACGTGTTCGATGAGATGAATGGCAAAGATTTGGTTTCTTGGAACACCATAATCCAGTGTTATGCAGAAAACTTGTGCCATGAAGAAGCCTCAGCTCATTTTCGTGCTATGATGTTTGAATTCGCAGAATGCGATGAGTTTACGCTGGGCAGCATTCTTCATGTTGTTACCAGAACTGGTGCTTTTGGTCATGGTATGGAAATACATGGCTACCTCATCAGAGCCGGTTTGGACTCTGACAAGCACGTTATGAGTGCTCTCATTGATATGTATGTCAGTTGGGCTAGTCTTCGTAAGAGGTACCGGGTGTTTCCTTTGAGAATGTTAAAATATTATCTGACAGTCCAGGGCAAGCTGGATCAATTTATCGTGGCAAGCAGTCTGAAGTCATGTGCTTCTGGTCTAGATCTGGTAGCAGGGAGGATGTTGCATGCTTGCATATTAAAGTCTAATATGAATCCAGATTCTTTTGTTACTAGTTCGTTGGTCGACATGTATGCTAAATGCGGTGCTCTGGAGGAATCAAATCTTCTGTTTTCAAGAACCAAGAATCCAGGTACAGCTGCGTGGTCTGCTGCTATCTCAGGAAACTGTCTGAATGGCCAGTACGGAAGAGCAGTGCATTTGTTTAGGAGGATGCAGTCAGAGCATGTGCAACCTAACGAATTCACCTACACCGCTATACTTACGGCATGCATGGCTCTTGGAGATGCTGTAAGTGGTATGGAGATCCACAACAACTTGATTCGAAATGGCTATGGAACCAACACCTCTGTCCTGAAAAGTTTGATTACCTTTTACCTAAGACAAGGTCGGTACCACCAGGCTCTGAAACTGTGCTTAGCACTATCAAACCATGATATTTCTTGGGACACATTGGTTGAATCATTTTCTCAGGTTGACCATCATGTTGGAATAGTTAATCTCTTTCATGTTATCCAATGTTGTGGCGCGAACCTTGACTACCATACTGCACGTCTCATCTTGAGTTCGTGTGGGAAGCTGGGACTTCTTGAGGAAGGGCTGCAAGCACATGCCTACATGACCAAGCGTGGCCTTGCTTCCACAGCTTGTACCAACAACTACCTCATCGACATGTACTCCAGTTGTGGTAGCCTTAGACATGCGTTCGATGCCTTCAACTATATGCCTGACAAGGATGCATCTTCCTGGACCTCAATAGTGGCAGCAAACGTCGAGAATGGCTGCCCAGAGACTGCCATTCGCCTGTTTTCACAGATGCAGAAGGAGAAGTGCCGTCCGACACCGGAGGTATTTTTATCTGTGCTGAAGGCCTGCGCGAGAACTGGCCTAGTAAATGAAGCATTCAGATTTTTTGCGTCCATGACGGAGGTTTACAAGATACAGCCCTCGGAGGAGCATTATTCCCACATGATTGAAGTCTTGAGTCGTGCGGGGATGTTCAAGGAGGCAGAGCATTTCATTGACAGTGTTGTTCCTTCTGAATCTGGCGCGTCGGCCTGGAGTTTGCTTTGTGCTGCTGCGAAACAGAACGGAAATGATAAGACCGTAGAGCTTGCAGGAGACAGACCAGCAAGGCTTCCTGGTGGCTGCTGAGTGTTGAGCGATACTTCACTTTGTATGATGAACCTGTCCATCATTTTTTACATGTAAAACTCTAGCACTACTAGAACTCAAGGAGTATACTCTTGGCACCGAGCCACTGACACGTGGAGTGAATACTGTAATTGGAGCCCGGTCTTGTACTCTTGTAAATCCAATACAGTTTCATACAAGATTTACTGGAGTAAAACTCTTAGAGCAATCCACTTGTTCCATAGTCTAAAAGAACCTTGGTGTGCGCAATTGACGTTTATAAGAAGCGAGTCCAATTCAACCTGGGTGGAACGTGCGGGTACTTCTTCTCTTAACAAAAAACTGTCTAATTTTTTTCTAGATTTGATCTTTTTTTATTAACGTTTACGGGGGAGTACGTTAACTCAGATACTACTAGTGTGTATGAGTAGCTAAACCATTGCTCCCTTTAACCTAAAAAGACAGAAATTAAGCTTCTCGAGAAGTGAAACAATTCTAAATTTGACAAGGTTTAGAGCATCTCCAACTTTTTTCTTAAACTCGCTCTTTAAATCCTTGTTTGAAGAGTTATTTGAATAAAAATCGCTCTATTCTTAAACTCGCTCTATAAATCCTCGTTTGAAGAGTCATTTGAATAAAAATCGCTCTATATATCTTTAAACCCTCTAATAGTTTCTCCATATCTTGGGCGTACTTTGGACAAACAGACCACTCGCCATCTTTAGCTAGCGATAAACCACTAATAAAGGATGGCAATATTTGGAGAACTAATTGAAGAAGCTCTTGGAGGATGCTTTTTTCACCAAAAAATATATTTCTATCGATACAAAAAAATATATAAGAGATTTCTGGCTCTTATAAAATTATTATCAATATTTGTATCTTTAAATAAGTCTATTATGAAAATATATTCCATAATTAATTAATCTAGTGATATTAAATATCACAATAATTATTAATTTATATATATATTTGATTAAATTTGAAATCATTTGACTCCTCCAGAAATAAGATTTATGTTCTTTTTTGGACTAGTGGTAACTTTTACGAAACCAATACTATTGGTCCTACCAAAAAAGTCAGTGCTTGAAATTTGTGTTTATCCATGGATCACCAAAACATATTCTACAAATTTGAATTTAAGGAATGGAGGATTTTAGGGTATGAGGCTTGACAATTGTCATGGAGCTTCGAAGGATCACTAGGTAGGTCACATGGTAGCGAACGGGAAGGCATCCTACTGTGGTGGTGGAGGACGACTGTTGGGTGGTAGTGGTGGCGTTGATAGCATTGAAGGCCAATGAGTTTGCCTCAATGTTGGAGGTAGCATTAAGCTATTCAAGCTAGCAGGGAGGAGATAGGGAGAGGGAGCTAAGTCTAAAGTAGTTGGCTGAGGAGGGAGAGGCGGCAAATAGGATGATGTCGATGAATTGCGCCATCACTGGCTATGCCGATAACGAAGCTAGGGCGAGAAGAGAGACCGTCATCTGTTGTCGAGATTCAACCATACTCATAGGTATGGGATCCCATGAGTGGCTTTATTCAATGGTGTCAAGAATTCAAGAGACTCTACTACTCTTAAGGCAATCCAACATACAAACACAGGCGTTGATGTAAAATTTTATTCATAAGCGTAAGTACATAATTTTATTTGTTAGACTACGTGTCACGAATGAATATTTACTCTACCTATAACTCATCTGATCGTTGATATTCCTACTCTACTAGGAAGAGGAAGGAGACAAAGTAAGAAGTAAAAGAAAAAAAAAGCTGAAGTGAGAGAGAAGAGGCAAGATCCATCCATCCTTAAAAAGTTACTAATAAGGCCAGTTTAGGATATTTTATAAGAGTTTTATAAGCAAATCAGATATTAATTTAGCAAAATATGCTTACCTGGCACAATACTATTAAGAGAGATAATCAAAATTTTATAGGAACAAAATAATTTTTTTCTCAATTACGCAAAAGGTTTGCGCGTCTTTGTATTAAGGTAGAGAAAAAGTTTAATATAACACGCCTTAGCGGCGTCCTAGGAGGTCAGAAGAATGGTACATAATGCTCAGACCCATCCTAGTGTACTGAAATATATGATGTCACATTGTACATGGAACAAAATAAATTTATAGGATAGAATCATTCCACATATAACACATGAGTTTTAGAAACTGCCAAAATGGGACACGAAATTTCAACTGAGCCTAAACACAAAATTTTAACCGAGAAGTGGCTATTGACCTTTTCTTTTCCATAATTGTTGTCATGGCTTAATCTCGTCCACGTGGACAGTAGCATGAGTTTTAGAAACTGCCAAAGTGGGACACGAAATTTCAACTGAGCCTCAAACACAAAATTTTTACCGAGAAGAGGGTATTGACCTTTTCTTTTTCTATAATAATTGTTGTCATGGCTTAATCTCGTCCACGTGGACAGTAGTACCACTACCACGAGTAATTACAGTAATAATCAAAATTAAACTATTCGTGCGGTGAAAGCCGTCGAGTCTCCGACGAGGTCGACGAGGAGGAGGTCGCTGGACTTAGGAAAGCACGCCGTCTCACATTTATCTCGGTCCCGTATCCCAAGAATCAACAGTGGAGAGTTGAAATCACCATGACCATGAGTTAAAATTCCAAGTACTAGTAGTGCATTTTTTTTTGAGAAATAGTAGTAGTGTACTATTGGAATAAAGAATACTGGCAAGGTTAGACGCTGGGCCTGGCTGCCGAGAACGAGATGGCCGTCCGGCTTGCTGGCCCGGAAGACGTGCGAGCACGCACGCACGGTCCAGGCCTCCAACCACCGCAGGCAGGGTGGCAAACGTCGCCCGCACGCCAAACGGCACCGCACCACTTCTCCACCGCACCAGTACAACTCCGGCCGGGCAGCCGGCCGGCGGAAGCCGCGGAACAAAACCCGGGTCAACGGCCGACAGCTCACTGTCCTAGAAGAGAGACGAAGCCCATAAAGAAAGAAGAGGGGTTCACCGCTCACACAAACACTCGCTTCCTCCTCCTTCCCCCATCCCCGACCCCACCCACACCCACACCCACACCCACACCATCGCATCCTCCGATCCCATCTCAATTCCCATTCCCACTCGCCGTCGCCGCGGGTCGCGCACTCCAGCTCCAGCGCGCCGCGCGGTGCTGCTCTCCCCGCCCATGTGACGCGAGTCGCGCGCCCCCCAGTCAGCAGTCCCAGACCCCAATCCGCGGCGCCGGGCGGGGTACCCAGAGCGAGCAATAAAAATCCGAGGATTCCGTTCCCCGTGGCGGGGATGGGGCAGGAGGGGATGGGGTACAACAGCAAGGGGGGAGGAGGAGGTGGAGGAGGAGGCGGCGGGGGAGGGCTGCCGATGACGGCGCCGCGGCCGCGGGGCGCGTCGCCGCTCCACCACCACAGCCGGTCGCGCAAGATCCACCGCACTTTCAACAACCTCAAGATTACCGTGCTCTGCGGCCTCGTCACCATCCTCGTCCTGCGGGGCACCATCGGCCTCAACCTCTCCCTCCCCTCGCAGCCCTCCGACGCCGACGCGCTCGCAGACGCCAAGGCCGTCGAGGACATCGACCGCATCCTCCGCGAGATCCGCTCCGACTCCGGGCCCGACCCCGACGACGAGGGCGACTTCAGCGCCTCCTCCGGGTTCAACGCCACCGCGCTCAGCGCCACCGAGGCCGCCGCGGCGTACGCGGCCGCCGTCGGCAAATACGCGCTCGGCCCCAAGATCTCCGACTGGGACGCGCAGCGGCGACGGTGGCTAGCACAGAACCCGGGCTTCCCGGTCACCGTTGCCGGGGGCAAGCCCAGGATTATGCTCGTCACCGGCTCGCAGCCTGGGCCCTGCGACAACCCGCTCGGCGACCACTACCTGCTCAAGACTACCAAGAACAAGATCGATTACTGCCGTCTCCATGGCATCGAGATTGTCCACAACCTCGCGCACCTTGACAACGAGCTCGCCGGATACTGGGCCAAATTGCCGCTGCTCCGCCGCCTCATGCTCTCCCACCCGGAGGTCGAGTGGATCTGGTGGATGGACAGCGACGCGCTCTTCACCGACATGGCGTTCGAGCTGCCCCTGGCGCGCTACGATGGCCACAACCTCATCATTCACGGCTACCAGGACCTCCTCTTCGAGAAGCACTCCTGGATTGCTCTCAACACCGGCAGCTTCCTCTTCAAGAATTGCCAGTGGTCGCTTGACCTCCTGGACGCATGGGCACCCATGGGCCCCAAGGGGTTCATCCGTGACCAGGCCGGCAAGGTACTCACGGCGAACCTCAAGGGCCGGCCAGCATTCGAGGCCGACGACCAGTCCGCACTGATTTACCTCTTGCTCTCGCAAAAGGACAAGTGGATGGACAAGGTGTTCATTGAGAATTCGTACTACTTGCATGGCTTCTGGGCTGGGCTGGTGGACAAGTATGAGGAGATGATGGAGAATCACCACCCAGGCCACGGTGACGAGCGGTGGCCTTTTGTGACTCACTTTGTTGGGTGCAAGCCATGTGGGAGCTATGGGGATTACCCAGCGGAGCGCTGCCTCAGGAGCATGGAGCGAGCGTTTAATTTTGCTGACAACCAGGTGCTTCGGCTATATGGTTTCTCACACAAGGGGCTGGAAAGCCCCAAGATCAAGAGAACCAGGGATCAGACAACCAGACCGATTAATGATGTGGAGAACTTAGATATGAAGGCCAAAATATCCACAATTTCCTGAAAGTTCAGATGAGAGTTGGTGGTTTGGCAATTGCATGCTTGCTTTGGCTGTCAACAGGGTCAGCATTTTGTGATATGGGGGATATGGTTGTTCTAGTTTCCACTCTCTTGCTCTATCTTTCCTTTTTGTTCACCAATCTTTATTGTTATGTGACAGCTAGAGATTGCAAGCTTTGTTTATTATGGGTTTAAACACGATAGGAGCTCAAATCTGATGGAAATAGTCTCGCTTTTGTACTATGCCATTTCATTTTTTGTGCTAGGTTCTTGCGGGACATGAATCACTGATATGTGGAGTTTGTGCACTCTAGTAGACTAGTTCTCTATTTAGTCGTTACCTTTCTTATCTTCCATGGTTGAATTTATGAAGCCTATTGCTAACTAAATGTACCTAAGCAACATTAAGATTTTTCTGTCTACTTTCTGCCATATGATTCAAACTTTACTGATTATTGCAATGTGTCAAATTCTCCACAATCTATCCTGATTTAGTGTCGCATCTTCATTTGGTGGCATTTTTAGCACTGACATCTTTGATGCCTGATATTGGTAATTTAGTACAAAATTATCCATGGCTTTGCAACTTTTCTGCCATTTCCTTTTGAACTGGAATTAGCATTCTGATAGTTATTCTGAAGTAGCAAAGGAAGGTAGCACGTCAAACCCTTGTATGAAATTTTGAATAGCCATAAATCATAAGATAAAAGAAACTGGTACTTAGTGCCACTGGTTTTGTTAAGTCAACACGTCATCTTGTTTGTCTCCAGCATCAATTTCTAAACCCTAAAGTGCAAGTTAAAGGATGAAATAACCATAACATGTGACAGCCTCTTGTTACTATGTTTTGCTGCGTTTTGTACTTCTCATAGATTGATGAATCGCTGCTGTATATATTTATTTTCTTCTTTTATTCAACCTAATATTTGGAAGCATGCTATGGTTTCTTCCAATGGTCTAACGTGTGATGTTGTCATGGTTACTTGTAAATGTTAATTTATACAATTCTTCATATGTGTGACTCATTGAATATTTCATCCATTAAGATGTTACAGAGGTTGCTAATTGTAGGAGTGCTTTTACAGTTCTAAGCATTTTTTATTCTGAAGAATAATTTATGTTGAACGTTTTCTTATGGTGTTTGATTTTGTTCTTTCTGCTGCTAGACATTTACTTCACTGTTATGATTTAGGTAGTAAAGGTAATGAAATTGCGGTTTCTCTATTAGTATATTCACACACATGATTAATGTTGGAGATACGTATAGCTTCCATCTTCCAAGTTGCTACTTATTTCAATCTGTTATAAGGTTTGGAGAAACTAATGTTGCTACTTAGTATTTCTTTGTGTTGAAGATTTGGAGAAACTGTATGCTAATAGTTTTGGACATTAGTTGTATGCCCTTGTTACAGAGGCTGTGTTGAGATTTTGAAGCAGCCATTATCACACTTGTATCTTACTAGTTTTCTACAGTCATATTACTTGCTGGGTTTGCTGATGCTTCATAGACTTGCAGCCGTTTTAAGTTATCATTCCTTAACTACAACATGCTATTAAAAGCTTAAATCTGAAGAATTGTGTACCGTTTTTTCAACGAGATTGCTCAATGAGTAGTTATGAACTCATTAAGGATTTGAATCCCTATTTGCCCATTCAAAAACGTTGCTTTGGTGGTTTAGCTGGTTACATGTGGCTGATTTAAGGTTGACATTTTTTTTTACAAAATTGAAATATGACGCTGTTGCTTGCTTTGCGTCCTACTTTATTGGCTAGAAAATGTCAGGAGCACTGGCAATTCACTGAAATAGAACATACTTTCGCAATTAGAGGTGGTGCTAGATAGTGTGCCAGGGATCTTATGCCTTGAAAGTCTGATTGAGAATATTCGTGAATTAGGATTTGAGTGTAATTGACCATGAATTTCTTGGACAAAATATTTACCAACTTAAAAGTATTACCAATGAATCTATTGTTGCATCTTATGTGCTAGCAAGCACCAAGCAGGCATACATACACACACACCTATACTCTTTTTTAAATTATAAGACATTTTGATTTTTCTAGATACATTGTTTTTGCTATGTATCTAGACATTATATATCCAAGCATATAGCAAAAATGATATATCTAAAAAAGCTAAAAATATCTTATATTTTGAAATGGAGGAAATACTAATTAATAATCAAAGTTTAGGATGTTCGACTTACATTTTAAAATGGAGAGAATCTATAAACAAACAGGAAGCATATGAAGGTACGAAGTAGCTTATACTCGGATTAGGGATCCAAAATTTAAGTTTTCCAAGCATATAGATGAATTGGCTAGGGTTTTGAAAACTGAGAGCGCCGCAGTTTGTTAAATTGTTGCTGCTGCTGCTGATCCGCAACTCCGCCTATGGTGGGGCGCCTTTGGTGTCCCAGCATAGCAGGTCCCAAGCCCTGGTAAAGGAGGAGGGTTGTGTTAGGCGTGGCGAGCCAATGTAAAAACTTAGCCACTTAAATGAAGATGAAACCCGAAAGAAAATCGTTGGGGCGTAACCCTCTTAGCGACGCGCCATATCGGAACCCGGGTATGGTGTTAAATGGGCAAGGGCCGGGTCGTCACCCCCGTGACGCGCCGTGTCGTGATCTGGGCATGGTGTCAAGTAACCAAGGATCGGATCGTCGCTTCCTTAGTGGCGCGCTACATCGGCGCCCGGGTGTAGTGAAAAATGAGCAAGGGTCTTCGCATCAGAGTCGACGGGTGCGAAGGGTAAGGAAGCTAGTCGAACCAACTAGGATCCGTTTAGGTAGTTGGAATGTAGGGTCACTTACAGGTAAGTTAAGAGAATTAGTTGATACCGCGACTAGGAGGCGTGTAAATATATTATGCGTTCAAGAGACGAAATGGAAGGGTCAGAAGGCGAAGGAGGTGGACAATACAGGTTTTAAGCTTTGGTACACAGGGACAGTCGCGAATAGAAATGGAGTAGGAGTTTTGATTGATAAGAGCCTCAAGAATGGTGTGGTGGGAGTGAGAAGGCAAGGAGATAGGATTATCTTAGTCAAGCTTGTCGTTGGTGATATGGTCTTGAACGTAATTAGTGCGTATGCCCCCCAAGTAGGTCTCGACGAGAGTACTAAGAGACAGTTCTGGGAAGACTTAGATGGCCTGGTTAAAGCTATACCTAGTAGTGAGAAGCTTTTTATAGGAGGAAATCTTAATGGGCATGTAGGTACTACAAGCGCAGGTTTCGAGGCAGTTCATGGAGGTTTTGGGTATGGTAGTAGGAATCAGGAGGGGGAGGAAGTTCTGGACTTCGCGGTAGCTTTTGACCTGATGATAGCCAACACTTTCTTTAGAAAGAGAGAATCTCATCTAGTGACCTTCAGTAGCGGACAATACTGTAGCCAGATTGACTTTGTCCTTGCAAGAAGAAAGGACAAACGAGCATGCTTGGATTGCAAGGTGATACCAGGGGAGTGTGTTGTTTCTCAACATAAGCTTTTGGTGGCAGATTTTTGTTTTCAGGTGCGTGCCCGTAGGGATAAACAAGCTAAGATTGAAAGAACAAAGTGGTGGAAACTGAAAGGGGAGACGTCAGAGGTATTTAGGGAAAGGGTTATCAAAGAGGGCTTTTGGAAGGAAGAAGACGACATAAACAATATGTGGGACAAGATGGCAACCAACATTCGGAAGGTAGCCTCAGAGGTGTGTGGAGTAACCAAAGGAAGGGGACGCGAGGCTAAAGACACTTGGTGGTGGAACGAGGAAGTCCAAAGGGCTATTAAGGAGAAGAAAGAATGCTATAGACGCTTGTACCATGACAGGAGTGTGGACAACATAGAGAAGTACAAGGTGGCAAAGAAGACTGCAAAGCGAGCTGTAAGTGTGGCAAAGGGTAGAGCGTACGAGGATCTTTACCAACATTTGAGTACGAAGGAAGGAGAGAAGGACATTTATAGGATGGCTAGGGTTCGTGAGAGAAAGACACGGGACTTCAACCAAGTTAAGTGCATTAAGGATGAAAGGGAGCATCTCTTGGTAAAGGAGGATGAGATCCGACATCGATGGCAAGAGTATTTTGACAAATTGTTCAATGGTGAGAATATGGACACAACCTTTCAGTTGGATGACTCTTTTGATGACACCAATAGGCGCTTTGTGCGGAGAATCCAAGAATCTGAGGTCAGAGAGGCATTGAAAAGGATGAAAGGAGGTAAGGCGATGGGACCGGATGGTATCCCAATCGAGGTGTGGAGATGCCTCGGGGACATAGCTGTAGTATGGTTGACCAAGTTGTTCAACCATATTTTTCGATCAAACAAGATGCCTGATGAGTGGAGGAGAAGTATATTGGTACCGATCTACAAGAATAAAGGGGATATTCAAAGTTGTACAAATTACCGGGGAATTAAGTTGATGAGCCATACTATGAAGCTTTGGGAGAGAGTTATCGAGCATCGCTTGAGAGCAATAACGCGGATCTCTATGAACCAATTTGGTTTCATGCCCGGAAGGTCAACCATGGAAGCCATTTTCTTAATAAGACAAGTTATGGAGCGGTATAGGGAGAAGAAGAAGGACCTACACATGGTTTTTATTGACTTGGAGAAGGCTTATGATAAAATACCAAGGAATGTTATGTGGTGGGCTTTGGACAAACATAAAGTCCCAACGAAGTACGTCGGGCTCATTAAGGACATGTACAACAATGTTGTGACTAGAGTTCGAACAAGTGATGGAGACACGGATGACTTCCCGATTAGGATAGGACTACATCAAGGGTCACTTTGAGCCCTTATTTGTTTGCTTTAGTGATGGATGAGGTCACAAGGGACATACAAGGGGACATCCTTGGTGTATGCTTTTCATGAGACGATGTAGTGCTAGTTGATGAAAGCCGACAGAGTGAATCGAAACTGGAGTTATGGCGGAGACTTTGGAGTCCAAAGGTTTTAGACTTAGTAGAACTAAAACTGAGTATATGAGATGTGACTTCGGCACTACTACTCGGGAGGAGGA